TTATTAGGCAAGTGTACCCTTTAAATAATGTGGTATACCTGATCTACTGAAAAATTTCTCCTCTAGCCGATTCCCTAAAATTCATCAATTAAATTCAAATGACTATTTTCATTTCTAAAATTCATTATTTAATTTTCTTTTAAAACGTAGCTTGCAATTTCATTGCTACGGCATACATATACATTCTTGAAATTGCAAGCGACGTCTTAAAAGTAAATTTTTGAGCTCAATATTTTACGAGCTGAATATTTTTCATACTCCTCTAGCCGATTCCCTAAAATTCATCAATTAAATTCAAATGACTATTTTCATTTCTAAAATTCATTATTTAATTTTCTTTTAAAACGTAGCTTGCAATTTCATTGCTACGGCATACATATACATTCTTGAAATTGCAAGCGACGTCTTAAAAGTAAATTTTTGAGCTCAATATTTTACGAGCTGAATATTTTTCATACAATATGTGAAGATTATAATAAACAGCAATGTAATATATATATATTAAGTATAAAAAGACGTTAGACTTGTAGTTACAACGGAATTGCAAGCAATCAAATTGCATATTATTATTGTAAATATAATAGTTTTGGCAAATATATGCCTCTACCGCTCTACCCTTTGCAAGCAACGTTTTAAAGAGCAAATTAAATGATAACATTTTGAAAATAAAATAATTATCTAAAGTTAATTGATTAATGGAGGGGATTAGGTAGAGTACTTGCGGTGATTATGACACAACTAAAACAGTACATATTAGAAAAGAAAAGTACAAGTATAAAAAGGTGATATAGATAAATATAGATAAATGTTAAATTTTTATTGGACGTGCACACCACATGAATAAAATAACATGATACATTCAGTTTATTAAATAATTTCTTATGATATAATGGAATTTGAAATTAATTTTGGAGATGATAAAATTTCTAGTCTCTCTCTTCTTTCTATCTCTTTCGAGTGTATTAGGGGTTTTGTCCCTTTCCTTAATTCCATACTCTTCTTAGGCCGAAGTCTGATGCAGCCGCATGGTTGGCCTTCAGACCTCTAGCCCTAAAGATGGTGCTCCTATCATCTAGGGATCGATTTCGCTCATCGGCAGAGGCTGCAATTATGCCTCTCAATGACCCTGCTGCATATGGCTTAAGGCGTGTTGTGACTTGGCTCCATGGATGCTGGCAGACGAAAGCGGTTTATATCCTGGTAGAGATGTCAAAAAGTTGGCAAAACATGATGTTGGTTTCTGAAACAATTTTGGATGCGGAATCGTATATGTGCGGATCGTGTATATTAAAAATTTTCATAAAATTTTTTAATACTCTAAAATATATTAATTTATATAATAATAAATTAATCATATTAATTTATAAAGATATATACCTAGCAAACGATTAGACAGATAACTTGAGGTCTTTAACCACGAACAGTCTAAGCTCTAAGCTTTCACAGAAAACTCGAATCTTCATCGTCTAGTCTTTGAAATCTGTAAGACATAGAGTGTGAACTCTAATATGAAACTATTAGATTATGATCTCTCACTATTTTCTATTTCATCACTATCAATGCATATATATATGATGAAACTAAGAATTTAAAAAAAATTTCTCTTTTTTTTTTTCTCTCCGTAAAATTCGGCCATCTATTAAAAATAGAGAGTAAAAATTATGTTATTTAATTTTCTATTGTCTTTACTGTATAGAAAAATTCTAACATTTATTTGAGGCATTACCCCCAACGGTAACGACAACTAAACAATTACACTTGAGTTGGAATATCAATTAGGCTCCGTTCATTTCGCTGATTTGAGTTTAAAATTTGAGTTTTGTTATAGTAAAAAGCTCTCATAAATAATTAAATTTAACTTTTTTGTTATAGTAAAAAGCTCTCATATAAGATTACATCTCAACTGAAATTAAAAACTCGAATCAGCGAATTAAACGGCCCTAAACTTTTAACTTTTTACGAGACACGACACTTTGATCTTTTACAAAGACAAGTGGAGCCCACTCAAAATTTAACTTCAAACTGTCCACTTAACAGGGTTCATAAACCATGTTTTTCCAACCGTACAGAGACAAATTTGACCGGTTAAAATTCTTGATAGAATGAAATGTACACATCTGGTGATTTGTGAAAGACATAAGTGAAAAATAAATATACACATGGAGTTATTATTGATAGTGACCCTTTCCGGTAGACTGATTATTGACGGGGTTAGATTTTTATCGTTAAAACTGATTAAAATTACATTTAATTTAAAAAATATATAAAATATATAATTTTTAATGTATGACGGTTAAAAATAAAAAATATATATTTACATTCATTTTTTTCAATTCTAAGTTACTCGCTTACTTGAGTAGAAAATACTTTTGAGTAGGTGACAAACTTAAGAGCTCTGAGCACTTTAGTCACGTCTTTTGGGGTCTTGATTTCTGAAAGATTCTCCAACTTTCTTAGTATTGAGAGCCCATTTTGTATTTAATATTTTTGTTTACTTTAAATATAAAGGACAGTTGATGCTCATTTGATAATTTATTATTATTATTTTGAAGAGTTTGTTGTTATTATATGATCGACTATGTTAAATCAAATGTCAAAGAAAGAAAAAACAAAAACAGCAACAATCAGTGTCTTTTTGGATGTAAATAGTTTTCGGAAAAAATTCCATCAATATTGAGAAAAATATATATAGTGAAAACATAGAAGTTTTCATGTTGTAGCTTCTTTTTCCTCCCTCTCTTTACTCATAAAAAGTATGATCTTATAGTACATGTTTTTCATAAAAGTTGTCAAGAAGTATAAAAAACTAATAGAAGAAACTATATAAGAAATAGTTTAAAAATTATAAAAAGAACAATTGTTGGGGATAAGTACCAAGAACTTAAAAATGTAGGGATCTAAAACGATAAAAATCCTTTAATTAACATTCTTTATTAATTTGAGAAAGAGGAAAATAGTATATTTTAAAAATAATTTTTAAGTAAATATTATATTTATTAGTAAATATTTATTTAGCCAGCGTAGTTAAATATAATTTTTACTTATAAATACAATATTTAACCTGAGTATTTATTATCAGTTAAATCTTTCATCCTAGTAAACAAAAATATTTATCAATAAATGTGTTATTTTACTTTAATCATTTCAAAGAGAGTAAATTGCATTATTACCCCCCTCCCCCCAAACTATTCATTTCCTGCGTAATGGACTACAAGCTATTAATTTTAACAAAATGCTCCTTGAACATCAAATTAGTTGTAATTAAAGTCCAATAATTGATGACATGATGAAATTATCAGTTCGAGATATGAGATTTGTATGAGGCATTGTTTGAAAATTGATGACCTTTGTACCTTAAGATTAGGCTCCTTGGGGCTGGGTGGTCGTGGTGCGCGATAGAGTCTAGGGGGGTGAAGCGCGAGGGTGGGAGGTTGTCGTGGTTGACAGAGATCTCGCGGTGGGAGGCCAGAAACAACGATCTTTAGGGATGGCTAATGGAGATCTTCGCACCGAAGATCTGGTAGGTTGCGGCTTCCGGTATTGGGCGGCGACGACAACTTAGTCATCGGAGGTAAGGCTGTTGCGTGTTAGTTGATATGTTGGGTCTAATCCAAAGCTTTGGACTTATAATCCCACCAAATTTTGGGGGTTTATTTATCCGACATAAGTTGGACTATTTTGGAATCTTTAGATAAGTTATCCGGTCCAAAATTGTCACCAAACATGGGATTAAGATTATTTATCCTTATCCTAGTCCATATACAGCGACGGTGTGCCAAACGATCAGGCCTAAGAGAGAAAAAGAGTGGCACTTTTACAAATATGTATGTAAAAATTGGTTTATTATAAGGTGTGCTTGTTTGAAAAAAAGTGGAGATGAATGTGTCAAAAAAGAATGCCATATCTGAATAAGAATTTAAAATAGAGTCTGTACTTAACACTCCTATTTAAAAATATTCATTTTACTTGAAAATCATTTAAAAATATTCTATTTCTGATAATTATTGTTTATTATACTTCTTCTCTATGATCAGTAAACTTATGCAGAAGAAATATATGTGAATATGCTATTAAGGCTTTGAAAATGGAGAATAAAGGAGGGAAGTGAAACGGGATCGAGAATCGTGTCTCAGTTGTGGCCGCATGCGGAGCGCATTACAGGGATCGAGCTTAGACAGATTAAAATTATTATATTTCTAAAGATTAGATCTCGTTCATTTCACCGATTCGAGTTTTGATATAGTAAAAATTTTTATAAACAGTCATATCTAACTTTTTTATTACAGTAAAAAACTCTTACATAAAGGTTTCGTTCGGATTTGAGTTTTTAATTCGAGTTGGGATGTGATATTTTCTGAGAGTTTTTAACTGTAACAGAAAAAGTTAAATTTAATATTTTTTTAAAAACTTTTAATGTAAAATTTAAAATTGAAAACTTAAATCAGTAAAATGAACGAGATCAAAATCACATATTAACTTAAAAGTAAAAACTATAATTGAGGATCGGCTCTCAAAATTAGGAAGATACGAACAAAAACATAGACAGATTATATGTACTAGCTAGCAGCACGTATGGGCTAATTTAAATATTAATGGCATATAGAAATGCGTGTAGTCTTCCGAAAACCGAAAACAATAATAATAAAAAATAAAAAATAAAGCATAATAATAATAATAATAATAATAATAATAAAAACAATAAAGAGAAAAAGAAATGAGGAATAATCTATGGCCTAATTCTTTCCTTACATAAAGGAAACGGTCATGCAATACATCATCTGTCCAAGAGAAACCATTCTAGCCTTAACATACCAACGAATTTCACTCATAATAATAATAATAATAATAATAATAATAAAAACAATAAAGAGAAAAAGAAATGAGGAATAATCTATGGCCTAATTCTTTCCTTACATAAAGGAAACGGTCATGCAATACATCATCTGTCCAAGAGAAACCATTCTAGCCTTAACATACCAACGAATTTCACTAGCTTCACAATGCCAAGCCACATTCAAAACCAAATTGCCCCAAATGGTGTCATAAATCCATCAAAAGTGGTGGTGGTCATGGTGCCCCTGCCGTGGCAAGGTCATCTACACCAGTTCATCAGCCTCTCCCACCTCATCACCGCCCGTGCAATCCCGGTCCACTTCGTCGGCGCCGCCACCGAAAACAACCAAGGCAAGCTCCGAATCCACGGCGGTATCAACACCACCAATGAAAAAATGATACATTTCCATGACTTTGTCGTCCCGCCTTGCATCACCACCCCCCCAAGCCCCACTTCTGCCCATAACTTTCCCATTCATCTGATTCCCACCTTTCACGCTACTCGTCATCTCGGCGAGCCCGTGGCAGCCCTTCTTCGACAACTTTCGTCCGAATTCAGGAGAGTTGTTGTCGTCCATGACTTCCTAACGTCGTCGCTGGTCCACGGTATTGGTCCAATACCAAACGTGGAGTCCTACGCTTTGCAAGGCGTCTCGGCCTTCGCAATCTCCCTACTTCATTCTCGCGACAGAGACGAAAAATCAGAGCTAGATCAGCTAGATATTGCAGATCTAATAATCCCTGAAGATGTCCCGTCCATGGAAGGATGTGTGCCACCAGAAATCATGGAGTTGAGCTTTCGTGAATGTACATTCGTTAAATTGAGCTCCGGGAACCTCTACAACACCAGCATGGCGATTGAAAGGCCTTATGTGAATCTAATGGCTAGGATTCTTCCAAACAAGAAGCATTGGGCAATTGGGCCACTCAATATGGTGACGCTATCGGAGAAGAAAGTGTCGAACGGCCGACACATGTGCCTGGAGTGGCTCGACAAGCAGGCGCCGCGGTCGGTGATTTACGTGTCGTTTGGGACGACGACGACATTCACCGACGAACAAATCGGAGAATTGGCTTTGGGGTTGGAACAAAGCGGGCAAAAGTTCATTTGGGTACTAAGGGATGCAGAAAAGGCGACGAGAAAGGTTGAGCTTCCGAAAGGGTTTGAGGAGAGAGCGAAAGATGTGGGGATTGTGATGAGAGACTTGGCGCCCCAATTGGAGATTTTGGGGCACCCATCAACAGGTGGGTTCTTGAGCCACTGTGGATGGAACTCTTGCATCGAGAGCATCGCCATGGGAGTGCCGATCGGAGCTTGGCCCATGCACTCAGACCAGCCGAGGAACACAAGTTTAATAACTCAAGTTCTCAAAGTTGGGACTGCTGTGAGGGACTGGAGCCGCCGTTTTGAGCTGGCAACGGCGTCTACGATTGCTGATGGTGTGAGGAAGTTGATGGCATCTACGGAAGGCAATGCGATGAGGAAGAAGGCGGCGGAGCTCGGTGCTGCGTTGCGGGATTCTTTGGCGGAAGGTGGAGACTCTCACAAGGAGTTCGATTCTTTTGTCGCTCATATCACCAGATAGATATTGAAGTCGCTGGGATCAGATCTCCATGCATACCACATTTGGATACTAATAAGGAAATATATGCATATCACATGGGAATGTTACCTACTTAAGAGTAAATTTCACATTCAAATGGTAATCTTCTAGATCTGTACTAGTTTTAATCTTCCTACTAGTTTTGCAATTTTTTTTTTTTTAATAAATTTAAAAGTGAGGGCCTGACAAAAGATATGATCTCTAGTGCTAGTTTCCAACCTAACTTCTTGCTAATAAATTGAGGAGAGAAGATCAAGGTAATAGGAAACATTTCTTAAAATCAAACCCAACTGGTACGTTGTTGCCAAATATATCCTCAAGTGTACGGAATCGTGGACAAATAATAAAGTAGTGAATATAGAGTACGTTCTCACGACACAATTCCATTAATTTCAATTAAATACATATTGAACAACCTAAATAAAATAGAAAAACAATAAAATAAAATATAAATGAAAACTCAAATCAATAAAACTCGGTGTATAAAGACTAAGACAATTGATTTAATTTCACCAAAATTAATCTAATTTAATTCATTATTCTTACTAAAATCGCCTATCGTAATGTTTGAAAGATGAGTACGTAACCCTATTCAATACTCTCTCCCGAGATACATAAAAAATACCCCAATACAATGAACTGCATATCTCGATGCAAATTTTAATATATCATAATTCATTAAGATCATTGGTTCCCTAAAAGTCCACACATTGCCATATATATCCCTATGCCCAATGAAACCTACGATGCTATTCTACTCCTATATAAGTTACGTCACGGTCTCATTCTAGGTCTCCTAATCAATTTAATTACTAATCAGACAATTAAAAGCATTAAGAACAATAATAAACACTCAACATAACGCAATAAACTCTTAGCGATAAATATTTGAAATAAAAATAAATAAAATTAAGCTAAAATAGAATAGGTAATCTCATAACTTAACAAAAAAAAAAATTAAAACATAATAAAATAAACTAAGGAATCCAACATCTCAATTCACAAAAATATAAAGACATAAAAATTAAAAAGAAAAAAAAAACTCATGCAGATGTGTCACAATTTTCTAAGCTTGACTCTATAATTTTTAGGGCCTGTTTAATTCACTGATTTGAGTTTTAAATTTGAATTGAGATGTGATTTTATGTGAGGGCTTTTTACTGTAACAAAAAAGTTAGATGTGACTGTTTCTGAGAACTTTTTACTGTAGTAAAACTCAAATTCTAAACTCAAATCGGTGAAATGAACGGAGCCTTAGTCTCCTATGTTCTTGATTTTCAAAATATTTTCTCCTTTGAAACAAAATCCTAAAATCTAAAAAATAAAAAATAAAAATCCTAAAAAAGACTACCTCAAAATTTGGTTTGAAGAAGCCTTCTTCTTTGCTCTCCTAATTTTTAACCCGGATTCAGAGCTAAAAGGGGCTATGTAGAGATGTAAGTTTGAACCGTCCGGCACGACTCAAACCCGACAGCTCTTAAGGAAAATTTTAGACCTGCCCGACCTGGTCTTAAACGAGAGAAAATCACCACAGCCTAATTCTAAATCCAAAAAATTCTGAGTCGGTAAAATCTAACCCAAAATTTTATAAGATATTTTTTTTTTAAAAAATCTTTAAAAAATGATGTTTGAATTAAGACAGTCCTATCTTAAAAGAAGAGAGGGTAAACTGAACTTGGCTCTAAACTTACCAGTTTAGTTTGCTAATTCGAGTTTTCAATTCGAGTTGAGATATGATGTTGTGTGAGAGCTTTTTACTGTAACAAAAAAGTTAGATGTGACTATTTCTGAGAATTTTTTACTGTAGCAAAACTCAAATTATAAACTCGAATCAGCGAAATGAACAGAGCCAGGGACATAACAGATCCAAACTAATAATAACAAGCCTTGGGCGGGCCGTTTTGTCTGACACAAACTCATAGTTCTAAGGGGACGTTTATTTTATATATTCGTTTCTGATTCTGAATTATAATTTATAATTTTTTACAATATTTTTTCTCAAAAAATACACATAAAATAAAAATAAATCTAAATGATAATTCTAAATACATAAATCAAACGTCTCTAACCCTTTCTATTTTTTGATTCCAAGGGCGGCAAAAAGAAAAGGAAACCAGCTAATAGGCAGCGGACACATGTCCACGTGGCGGCACTTCGTTGGATACAAGGCGACGTGGGCTTCTCAGGGAAGGCCAGAAGCGTGATCGTACGGGAGGAGCAGGGCCAAGAAACACTGGATCCGGCACAACTCAGTGGGCTGACAGGTGCACTTGGGTGCGTTTCGGAATATATGAGGTTGACGCGCACGCGCGCAATGATGAGATTTGGAGCTCAACGGATAGTGCGGATCGCGAATGGGCCCTCTGTGGAAGAGATGCGCGGGGGAAAATGTTTGGTCCGGATTTATTTTTGATTTCCTCAAAAACTTTTGGTTCCCATTTAATTCCAATTAAGGAAAAAGCGCCCACTTGCCATATATATATATTTTTTCTCTTTTCACCTATTTTACCTACAAAATTAAGGAAACTAAAATCAATCAGAACGAGAAACTTATTATATTAAAGTAAAATAAAATAACGTAAAATAAAAAAAATAAAATAAAATAACTTAAACAAACACAAAAATCTAAATAACAAGCTCAACTTAAATGCGACTAGAGAGTTGTTTGGTTAGGAAATTCACACCCCGATTCGAATTATGGTTCATGATTCGTTACAGTATTTTTTTTCACAAAAAAATACACGTAAATAAAAAATAATTATAATTTTATGATTTTAATTCATGAACCAAACGTCTCCT